AGCCCCACACCCCTTCTTTAAGCAATGGAGGCGGAAGTGGGCCCACCTAGTTAGGAGGCCTAATTGATGTTGGGGAGGCTCCTGGAGTGCTTGGTGAAAGGTACCCCGTAAATCTCAGACACTAAAGGGTTCTGCCACATCCATCATAGTGTTTAATGTCCTGATTGATCTCTGGGGTAGTCAATTTCATTTGCTTGTTCAGGATGAATAGGCAGCCAGCTCCCCTATGACGCATCCTGGGGCTCTGCATAGAATTACCCCAGCACTGTCTCTTTGGTAGCTTGCAATAAATTTTCACAGCAAATGTTCCATCATTTTCTTTGGATAATTAAATTAACTATTCACTAAAAGACAATATCAAACTTTTCAGCAGTAGAGCCAAAGAGGGAAAAACAATCCCTCTTTGGGGGCAATAATAGTTATGAATTCTTCACTTAGTTAATGAGGGGGGAATGCAGGGTTTTGGCCGGTTCTGGAAAGAGGAGAAGGCAGATGAGGCAGCTCTTGCTGAGGAACAGCTGTGCCTTCTCCCCTGACTTGGGTGACTTTGGAGCATCACTTACAAGGGAACAAATGGGATGTGCCAGCAGGGTTGAACTCAGGAGAGGTGCTGAGGGTGCCTGTGCTAGCTTGGGGCTGGGGGTAGGGCCCACTGCCACTCCCACACCAAACTATCAGTGGCAGCAAAGGAAATAACAGCATCTCCTGGGCAAGTGCTGAGCCTCTGTTGGCAGCCAGACACCCTGGGCATGTATTATTCATAAGGGTGACTTCTGTCTGTGTCTTCCCTGAACATCCTCTAAGGGCATTCCCTCCCATTATGTCATTAGCTATCCCACCAAACCTCTGGGGGCAGGAGGCACAGGAGTTACCATTCCTATTGTACAAGGGGAGGAAGCAGGTCCCAAGATTTGCTTGAAGCCACATAGCAAACCAGAAACAAGGCTTGGCTAAGAATTCAGGTGCTGGGCTTTGAGACCCTGTAAGCCGGTATAGCAGCGCGTGAGGGGAGGGGGTGGGAAGGGGATGGCCAGACTTCTCTCCACCACTGAGACGTCAGTGCAAAACCAGGGTTTGGGTGTCTCAGCCCTCAGAGTTGAGTGTCCTTGTTAAGCAACTCAAGTTTTGTGTGGGGCAGTGTCCTGTTGGCTTATTAATTGGAGTTGGGCCCCAGCTCTGTCTTTTCTCTTAAGATAAGCAAATAGCACCAGGACAGGAGGGCCTTAGTCTCCTGACTGGTGCAGTCGAGAGCGGTCTGGGAGTGAGAAAGTAGTTCCTGAGCTGGGGGCCACGTGGATGCCCGCCGTGCTGAAAAGAATTCCAGGCTAGGTGACCCCCACCATCCCTTAATTTGTAAGACTTGACTGAAAAGCCAAGTCTTGCCTAGGACAGACTGCAGAGGGACCAGTTGTGCCCCTCAGGGATGGCCTTACAGCTCCCCAGTCTTGGGTAGGTTTGGGGCCAGGCTGAAACCCCCTGTGGGCCGACCACCAGCACTGCTGGCTCTGAGCTTTGTGGTCTTGCTGCCCAGTCTCACATGTCAGGGTGGCAACCCAGCAATGGGGCTGGCTCCTCTGGCAGAAGCTGAGGTGACGCTGAACTGGAGGTCCACAGGCATGCAGGACCCAGAGGGCCGTGGGGCTGCAGTCCTGATTTCTTTCTCTGGCTCTCCCACTGCTGCCTGGTTTGATTATGGGCAGCTCATTGCACCACATGCAGCATCTAACCCTGACAGATCTGGATCTGAATCCAGCACTGGTTTCCTAGTTAGCTGCATACCCTTGCAAGTCATCAATTGGTCATTCTGTGCCTCTGTGCTCTCCTCTGTGAACTGGGGAGACAGTGTGTGTTTTCAGTGCTGCGATAAAGCAGGATGGCTGGAAAGAGCGCCTGCTACAACAGGAAATGAATCAACGGAGTTGTTACTGTTGTCATCACTCTCTTGGTAGCTAGCAGGGGACAGCGGCTGTTATCAGACCCTCCTCCTTGCTGTGAGAGCCCCAGATGGCTCCCCTGGGTCACCAGAGTGGGCTCTCTGAAAGGGTAGGAGAGCAGGGGGCTTTTTTCCCAGATCTACAAACCTCCCAGGGTACTCAGCTCCATTTCTAGGGGCCTGGCTGTCCCCGCTGTAACTCTGGGCTATGGTACCCAGGGCAGCCACGAAAACTGAAGCTTTTACCTCCATCTCCTGCACTCTAGGCCTGAGGACCTGCCCCAAGGACCTGTGGTGGGATGGGGTGTGACAGGCCTCTGCCTCCACCCAGAGTGAGGGCACTTGTGTGAAGAGAGAATTGCCCAGCTATTGGTCTCTGCTGTCCTCCTCTGTGTGCTGCTCATGCCAGGCCACCTGATGTCCCACCACATCTCAGGCACCCAGACTGGACCTGACAGCCTCTCTTCCCCCATTGCTCCCCTCCCTTTCACTCCACATCCAGGAGGTGCAAGTCCCATCAGGTCTCCCCGGTGTCTCAGCCACCTGCCATCTTCACGCCGTCCCCCATGGGTAGCCTTGTTCCTTCTCTGGACACAGGTTTTCCTTCTGGTCATTCCTCTGCAATTACTAGAAGGCTCTGCCAAGAGCCCTTGAATAGTGCCTTCTCTCTTTAAGGATGGATGTCCTGCTCAGCCTGGCATGGCCACGCCTGGCCAAGGCCTCTAGTGCCCAGCCCCACCTGTCTTTGTCCCCAGTGTGGCCCCTTTGCACGCCCCCTCCACCCTTCACTATCATCTTCCTAACACTGAACTTCTCCCTGGTACCAAACAGGCCTCTTCTGGCACTCAGCTGTTCCTCTGTTTGCACTGTTGTCCCACCGCCTTCACCTGACTTTCCTAATTTGTCTTTTGAAAATAGTTTAAAATGGCCAGGCGCAGTGGCTCACACTTCTAATCCTAGCACTCTGGGAGGCCTAGGCTGGTGGATAGTTTGAGCTCAGGAATTCAAGACCAGCCTGAGCAAGAATGAGACACTGTCTAACAAAAATAGAAAAAAATTAACTAGGCATTGCAGTGGGCACCTGTAGTCCCATCGACTCGGGAAGGTGAGGCAAGAGGATTGCTTGAGCCTAAGAGTTTGAGGTTGAGCTAGCTTGGGCAACAGAGTGAGACTCAGTTTCAAAAAAAAAAAAGTTTAAAACAACTGGAACTTTAAGTCAAGGAGACAATCCAAAATTCCCCACTCCCATTTCTAGGAATAGGTCAATTTCGTAGCTCTGTGTTGAAACCACCCCATAAAAATTGCTCTCCTCACCCACACGACAAGGGCTGATTCCGTTATACTTCTTTTTAAATCCCCTGTAAAGGTTTCCTCTGCTGGGAGGCTTTCCAGTGTCCCCAGGCAGATGAGCAGCTTCCTCCGTGAGCATCCTCTGGTACAGGCCAGGCTCATTTGCCTGTTGGGGTGACAGCACCCACCCACGACCTTGGGCCAAGGAAGCTAGCTGGGCCTGGTGTAGGAGGGTGGCTGTCTCTAGTCCAGTGGGCGGAGATCACTAGTTACTGATCCCACTGGCTCCCACCCTACAGATTACAAACTGTGTAATGCCCTCCAGCCCATCATCACGTGGCAAAACCCAAATGAGCTTTTGTTTCCAAAAGCTCTAAACCCTGAGAAGCCCGGTGCCTAGCATAGTGCCAGGGATAATCTTCTCAGTGTTTGACCCTAGGAGTGTCTTCAACCCCCTCCAGCCTCAGGTTCTTCACCTATAAAATGGGGCTGGTGATACCTCCCTCACAGCGTTGTTGGAAGGATGAAAGAAGCCCGTGTGTAGAGGAGTCTTCACAGAGTGCACAGGGGCAGAAGCTGTAGCTATGCTGTTGGTGACCCAGGATGCTTCAGCATGGCTGCCCTTGTCCTTACCCAAGCCTCCCCAGGCTGGTGTCCTATCACACCTTGATTGGACACTGCTGCCCGTAGCACCATTTGGGATAACTATTGTTCTCCTCATGAATCAGGAGGGTGCTTTTCACTCACACAGGGTCACTTCCCATTCTTTCTTCCAATTCAACCATCTTTCGCAAGAGGCTCTGCGCCTTGTGCAGGGTTCTGGGGTCCTAATGGGACCAAGGCTTGATCACTGCTCTTGGGGACAGAAAGGGAGGCAGGCAGGGAAGCTGACGCTGGCCCAGTGTGGGGTTACTGTGCTGTCAGGGTGAGTCCAAGGGGCCAGAAGAGCCCAGAGGACACCTCGCCTGCTGGTGAGGGCAGGCAGAACACCCGCACAGTGAGATTAACCCAGACCAAGATGGTGGGGGGGAGGGGGGTGGGTGAGGAGAGAACAGGTAGGAAGGAAAGGAGCCACAGGGGTGGAGAGCAGCTGTCAGCCACATTCAAGTTCTCTCATGATAGAGGAGCCCTTAAGAACATAATCTTCCCCTATCATACCCCCATATAAAAGAAAACATGAAGGTTATAAACAAAACCCCCCTGAAAGTTTGTAAGCAAGGGATATCAGGCTTAGTGGCCTGGGCAAATGCACAGGAGAGGGTGACACCAGAGGCTGGGCCAAAGAGGAGGCTGCAGCCCTCCAGCAAAGCTGGGACGGGGGCTGGGGACAGCAATATGGAGGATGGAAGGGCCCGGATTCATGATTGCTCATGAGGGATGAGGAAGGAGCCAGTGATGTCACACATGTTTGTAATGGGGTGGGTGGAAATCGGGAGGAAGAGCAGACTGTGGGCAAGGTGCTGAGTTCACTTTGGGACCTGCAAGAGTTTGAGGTCCCTGAGTGATGGGGCCTGGGGTCAGGGAGGAAGGCTCCACTTTGATGGGGAGATGAGCTCCACTTTGGTGGAGAGAAGGGGAAGAGGGAGGGACTGGTCCAGGGTTGCACAGCCCAGCAGTGTGACAGCATCCTGTCCTGGGGCCACTTACTCTTGGGCCACTAGAAAAGGGGTCAGGCCTGCCTGGGTGGGCTTGTACCAGGCCAGCTGAGACCCCAGCGAGCCACTGTGGACACTTCACCTGGGCTAGCAACCAAAGAAAACCTCTGCCAACCACAAGGCTCAGTGCAGCTGGTTTTTATTATTAAAGCTAAGGTTGGAAAATGGCTGTCCCATCCCCCCACCCCCACCCCTGGGTCCATCCCTTCAGGTCCCTGACGGTGAAAACCAGGTTTGCCTTGAAAAGACTCTGAAACGCTCATGCCGAATGAGAGGATGAGGACAAATGAAGTAGGCTCAGGTGATGGCCTCCATGTGAGGGTGGCGGCTCCGCCCAGGGAAAGACGGCCTGGGTGGGGCAGGGCTCACAGTGCTGTCCCCGAGGGTCCGGGGTGGGCGTCAGGAACGAAGGCAACGGAAGAGGCTGAGCAGGCCCCTGCACTCTACCCTGCTGAAGCTGGGCCACAGGCTGGTTTTGTAAAAATGTTTAAAAAGGAAATGCAGCCGCGGGCACCACCCTCCCCTGCGCGGGGCAAGGGGAGGCGCCAGCTCTGGGCTTTGAGGTCTGAGGCTGTGGCCTGGTGTCACCTCCCTGGAGGCAGGCAGCACCCTGAGGGAGGCCAGGCGGGCTCCTGGGCCCTGCATGTGGCCCTTGGCAGCCTCCAGGGTCCCAGGAGAGCTTTGACATGGCTGTCTCCCCTCCTCCCACCAGCCCACCTGGAGGCACTAGGCCTCGGGGACCCTGTGCAACTTTTGCTCTTTGGATTCCAAAGATCTAAACTTCTCCTCTAGCGTGGGCACAGTGGGCTGGAAGTGGATAACAGGCCTGATCTGAAAGACGGTGAAGCCTTCCTGGTTCTTCTGGTTGAACAGACTTACCCTGTGTTCCAGCTCGGGGCTGGTTTGGGGCGAACCTGCTGGGCTGGGCCGGGTGAGGGGGGCTGGGTCCAAGGCCTTCTGGGGTGGATAGGGGTCCTCAGACAGGGAGGACAGCAGGTCCTGGACTGTGGTCTCTGCCATCTGCTGCTGGGGTGGCGGTAACAGTGGCAGGGGAGAGGGGCCAGGCTCAGAGGAATGCTCCCCGCGGGCGGTGCTGCAGTCCGTGGGGGAGCCCAGAGTCTGGCTGCTGTCACTCTGGGCCCGGGTGACTGAGCTGCGGGTGAAGCGGGAGGCGCTCTCTGAGGTGGCACTAGCACTGATGCCACTGCCGCCGAGCTTTAGGGGTATGTCGAGTGAGAAGAGGTCTGAGGAGACGTTGGGCTGGTGGATGTCAATGGCAGCTGTAGTGACCACACACACAGCTGGCTCTGGGACACCGCTGTCTGTAAGAACAGAGGGGATCCCGGTCACACGCCCCCCTCTGCCATGCCTTAGTGGACCCTGAAGAGGGCAGGTCTGGACTGATCCAAGTGTGGGAGTCTGGCCGGGTGGAGGGCAATGAGTGGGATGGGCTGTGGGAGGGCCACAAGTTGGGGGGCCTTGGAACTTGGTCCCAGTTCTCCAAAACCCACCAACCTTCTGGAGGGAAGATTCTGAAGTGTTTATATGTGACATGCTTTGGCCAGTCACCTACAAGTGCCCTGATGGAAGTTTACAAGCCAGCTGATGGCCTACCCTGGCAGCCAATGATGTTCTGGAATAGATGATGGTGGCTGCTCTGTCCACTGGGTGCTGGAGTAAGGATGATGATTTGGGAGCACACCCCCAGCCGACCTGCGGTGGGCTCTATGGCTCTGTTTAAACCACAGAGGTGCAGGATTATCTGCCACAGGGCCCCCCACCCCCACCCCCCACGCCCCACATGTCCTGACTCAGGAAGCATCGAGTTCTCTGACAAGGAACTTGGGTTTCATGGTCTGAGTTCTTCAGAGTTTTAAATGGCTGGTGTGAGGGGTGGGGAGTGGCATAATTGCAGCCCGGCCTTCAGAAGACTGAGTCACCTCTCAGGATGAGTCTCAGAAAAATTCCAACATAGTATACATGTCACCCAGCATAATGTTCTAGCCTTACGGCAGAGCATAAAAGGATTTGGGGGCTGTGAAATTCAAACTTAAGGCTTAAGACATTAGCTCTGGAGAAACGGGACACTGAGGGACTAGGTGTTATTTTCAAATTCTATCTTTTATGTAAGGAAAACCCACTAGACTTCCCTGAGACTTTTTCAAGTGTAAGAATAAAACACCTTGCAAGGCCACACCTGACCCTGCGGCTCCTGAATCCAGTGGTGTTGTGCTACCTCTGCCTCTGGTTGGGGCAGGGAGGTCACTTTGGGTCCTAGATGCCAGTCCCCTGCCCATGTCAGAGTGCCATAGGCAGCTCTTATGGGTAATCACAGACAGCCCCCACATGGCACCACAGGCTTGGACCCTGCCGCCCCTAGCTCCAGGCTGGAGTCTGCTGGGACCTGAAGCTTCTCAGCCTGAGCTCTGACAGGCACCAGGAGGCAGGCGTGACTTGATCTCTGAAGCCAGAGGAGGAGCCGCTACCCTTAGTGGTTAGAGGTGGCTGGGGTCACATGTAGTGTGAGGCTGCAGAGAAGTCTGGTACACGCAGAACAGCATCTGACTTACCACTGCTGGGCCCATTGTAGTACTGACTGATGTAGCTGTTCATATCATCTGTCACCGAGGCTTCTACGGAGGTGGGGACAGAGAAGGGTGAATGACAGCTTGTCAGGGAGTCTAAGAGGCAGGGTCTGTGGCAGTTCTTACTCCTCCTCCCATACTCCAGTCCCTGCCCCCATCGCCACAGGGAGAGGCACCTGTCTCACAGAAGCCCTCTGGACCTCCTTGGGGACCATGCCTCATTTGCCCCAGAGCCCGGACTGCACAGAGTACCAGGGAACCCAGGTTCTGACAAAGCATCTGCCCTGACACCTGACCTGGACAGGTCTCCTTCCTTCTCCACGCTCGGTTTCCCCATCTCTGAGATGAGGGGTGTGGAAAAGTTCCTCAGTGCAGAAGCTATGAAATCCCATGAGCAGGAATACACAGCCAGCCATGGGCTGAGGTGTCAGTCATCAATGGCAGCCCCCAATCAGGTCCATCAGACACTCCAGCCTTCTGGGCAGCACCGGACATACCCAAGGGGCTGGGGGATCCCCACCGTCTGCTCACAGTTTGTGCTCAGTAAATAGTTACTGAACAAATAAGGCAACAGGAGATGACAGGGACAGGGTCCTAAGGAAATATTGGTTCATCATGCTGGGAGGAGTGGGAGGCAATGAGAGAGAGGAGGGTGAGAATTTCAGAGTGGCCTATAGCAGGAAGAAAGGCAAGTGACAGGTGACCTCAGAAGCCATCCTAAGGAGCCTGGCATTGTCTCAATGGCAGTGAGGAGCCACAAGAAGGTTTGAATGTCATCAGGTGAGAGGTCACTGCCCAGGTTGTGGGGAGAGTGGTTTGGAAGGGGCCAGACTTCAAGCAGGGAGACCAGTGACTGCCCAGGTAAAGTAGGACAGGCCCTAAGGGGCTGGGAGGTATCTGAGGGGACAGAGGGAGGGTTGGGATGAGACTGGTATGACTGGGACGTGACAGGATGAGGGCACTCAGCTCTGTTTGGCAGCCTGTCAGACTGGGTCCCAGAGTGGGAGGGTGGCGGATTAGACCTGATTTCAAACCTCAGCTCTATCACAGACTTGTTAAGTGGCCCTCTCTGAGCCTTTGTCCTCCATCTGTAAAATGGGGAGAATGATACCTTCCCCCAGAGCTGTGATGAAGAGTAAACCAGCTTAAAAAAGTCAGACTCCTGAAGTGGGGTCAGGCACACAGAAAGCCTGGAAGGCACCAGGGCCATCTTCCCTGACATGGAAGTCTGGGAGGTGCTCCAGGGCGGGCCCCTGAGCCTGTAACCCTGGGGACTTCTCTGAGGAGCTGATGTCTGCAGGTGACCAGGCCCTAGTGTTCTGAGGCCCCTCCAGGGCATACCTGGGAGCTGCAGAGGCCAACCTGCCTTGACACTGGGAGGCTGAGTGGCAGTGTTTGCACAGGCTTGGCTCTTAAAAGCTTTTTTGGCCTCCTTTGATCTTTAAGTGCCTGCGGTCAGAGGTGTGTTCCCTCTAATGCTGGGCTGAGGGAGGGGCTGGGCTGGCTCCGGGCGGCTCCACATCAGGCGGCAACACACTTCTCCATGGCTGTTCTCATGGGTGCTGTAAATGCTGTCTACCCCCACCACGACCCTGGGGAGCTGAGGGTGGCTGCTCCCTGCAAGCTGGGGGCGCAGGACCACCAGGAAGAAGGATTTGGTCACTTATCTTGGGTTTATCCTGAGACTATACCTGCAGGGCTTCATGAGGGCCACGAGACGTGGCTAGGACTATAAGCTCAGCTAAAGTATCCGCAGAGCCACGGCACTTTATCCCCAAACCGCCACTTGCAGGAGGTGGCCAGGAGAAAAGAAAGTCCTAGGCCCTGAGTTCTTGTCCTGGAGTTGCCTTCATCTGTACCACGAGGGCAGACCGTGATATGACCGGGCTGGATGTCTCTGAAGTTCCAAGAGGTCACATATTTGCAGCAGAGGCAGAAGGGACCATCTGGACTGTCCCCCAGCAGCCATGCAGGAGCCCAGGGGCTTCTCCATGCCCCGCCAGCCCCTCTGGGGAAGGGAGCCCTGATCATCTGCTCTTCACATGCTGAGCTCAGCGGTCACAGTGTGTCTAACCTTCTGTGGGCACTGAGCTGGGAGTCCCTGCCTCCAGGGAGCACAGACAGCCTGCCCAGGATGTCCAGCCAATCTCCATCTAATCAGGAAGAGCCCACTGTGTGCTAGATAGTGAGGAGGAGCCCATTCTGCTCACAGGCTATGACAGACCTTCCAACATACAGAGCCCCTCACACCCCTTCCGAGAAGCCTCTTCTGGAAAGCCCTGCCATGCCCAACCCCTCCTAGTTGCCCACTTTCCACTGTGAAGGCTTCACCCTGGGCTCCAGATGTGACCAGATGGGAGAAGAGGAGGAGAGAGGGACCCGGTATTTACTGCCAGAGCTCCAGATACAGTGCTCAGCACTTCACACATGGATCTCCTTTAATCCTTTCCATCACCCTGCAAAACTGTGATTAATTAATAGACCAGGGCTCCCCAAGATTAGGTGTGATAACTCCCAACAGTTTGGCACCCTCCAAGTGTGCTTAGCAGCTGCCCCCTCTGCTGGCTCACATGGAGCTTGTGGCCTGTGTTAATGCCCAAATCTTCTCTGTAGGAACTGGGGCCAGGACAGGCCTCCACCACCAGGCACCCAGGTAACACCCGAGGAGGGCTCACGATCTTAGGAAAGTGTCAGGTTATTGGTTTTGGCCTAGGAGTACAGCCCGCAGAAAGCATTCTGAATCCCGGTTGAGGCTGCTAAGGTGTTAGATCTCTTCCTATCTCTGTGTGACTGCATATCTGAGAACGCTCACATCTTCATCCAAGCTGTTGATAAAAATAACCTAAGCCAGGTGACCTTCAGCTCAGACAGCTCTCCTGAGCTTCTGATGGGTCTGGCCAACCGTCCGGGACTTCTGGATGACCTTCAGCTACCTCTGACTCAACATGTCCAAAATAGAGTTCAGTCTCCTACATCCTCCATCTTGGTGACTGGTTCTCCTGCCCACCCAGGTTAGGACCCTGTCACTTCTTGGTGCCTCTCTCTTTCTTACCAATCACCCAGCTCCAGCAAGCCTGTGGTGGGTCAAGGGGTGCTGGCCCCTGTGCTATGCCCCTGCATCCAGCATTAGGTTGGGCCTCTTGGTTTCTCCTTTGGACTCCCATCCTGCCCAGTAGGTTTAATGAATAGGAGTGCTCACTCCTGGGACGTGACACACAGCCCAGGTCCCCAGGTGAAGGCCTGTCCAGTCTGCACTTGCTCCCTCTGCTCCAGACCTGGACCCACATGGTGCCTCAGAGTGAGCTTTAAGCTGTAAGTTGGAGAGTGTGGCCTGTCCTGCTGATATCACCACCACCACCCCCAACCTCCTGCAGGCCTGTGGATCCTCTTCTTTGGAACTGACCACTTGGGTTGGGGCTCTGTCCCCATTCACAGAGGGGCCCAACAGCCTTTGAGAGTAGGAGCCATATTTTATTCACTGAGTCACCCTGGTCCTGGGGGCAGGGTTTATCCACAAAGATGGACTGAACAGAAGACCCTGGGTGTGTCAGAACTTCCCTGGAGAGCCACAGGGCCCTGACACGATGGCCTGCACTGCTCGGCCTGTGGCCTCACTCCCCTCCTGGGTACTTCCTGGGGGGTGGAGGGGGGTTGTTTTGATTCAGCCCCAGGGAGCCCTAGGAGGAAGCAACCCAGAGGGGACTGAGCCCAGCAGAGCAAAGAATGGGCACACAGACAGGCTTCAGAACAAAGCAGCCCTGGGCCCCAACCTAGCTTTGCAGGCCACTTGCTGTGTGGTCTTTAGGCAAATCTCTTAGCTACTCTGAGCTTCAGCTTCCTCACCCATGAAGGAGGGATAACAAAAACCTACTCCTTGGTGAGTTGAAGGGACTCTCTGAGTTGATGCTTGTCTAGCCCAGCCCTCCCTTACCTCTCTGAACCTCTGGCCCCAGCCTCTCGGGTGGCTGCTGCTCTCTGCTGCCCCGGGCCTTTCTTCTGGGGTCTGAGCATTTTGCAGACTTAGCCTGACTAATCCTCCTAAAGCCCCTCGGGCACAGGGGTAATGCTCATTATGTGGGTTTTGCCTCTTGGGCAGAGCCTCCAACCTGCCCTGGAGGCAGAAGTGGTGAGAGAGGGAAGTGTGTCTGCAGGGCCCGGACAGGCTGAGGGATGAGGGCACTCAACCCCGTATCCAGTATAGGCCCAGGACCCAGGGCCACTGAGGTCCCTGATTCCTAATTTGGTGCTTCTGCTCCCAAACTCCAACTGGGTGCTCTGTGGCTTGGCAGCCCTCATCAAAGGAGAACACTAACCTTCACAGAGCACCTACCGTGTACCAGGCATGAGTGAGCACCCAATCCTCCTCAGCAAAGAACCCTGTTACTGTTCTCACTTTGGACACACAAGGGCTCAGGGGCAGGACCAGCTCCATAATTTATAGGCTCCTTGTTCAAAAGTATTAAGAATTTCAAGGGTGACAGCAGAGCATTGAACCAAGCTCAGGGCCTCTGTGATCACACATGTCAGGTGTCCCTGAAGCCAGAGCTAATCAGAGAGGTCTTGTTCAAGGCTTAGTTGAGATTCAAAAGCAGACTTGAGTCCTCAACCCACGTCCCTCTGGTCGCTTCAAATGCTACCTTGCATGTGGCTTTCCCAAGTCTAGTCCTACATCCCTGGGGCTCCTGGAGTCCCAGGCACCCTGATCAGGTAAACAGGTCTGGAAGCCAGCAGAGGCATGGCACCCAGGCACTCTCCTCTCCAAGGGCAAGCTCTCTGCCCCATGCCAGCTGGCTCCCTGAAATCCCCTCTAGGGTTTGGCAGAGGGAAGGAGCCGAGCGGGCTGCAGGAGCACCTCTGTGGCAGTGTCTCTGGATGCTGCAGCAGCATGGGGGGGGGGACACTTATGTTCCCCATGATATATAGTGAAATCCATGGCACTCCCACCAGGGGCTGTAATTCATAAGTTATGGGCGAGCTTCAAGACTAATAAATTCGAGAGAGAAGTATTAATGACTACACAGGGGCACCATGAACTTGGCAGGCCCCAAAGCCTGGAACTTTGCGGCCCAGGTTTTAAAAATGATTTGTGCTAGAGCAAGTCTAAACAGAAGCTGGTCGGTGTTGTCTGGCTGTGACCCGCTGGCAACTGTTGAGACTGCGGAGCAGCTTCCTCCTTGTGGGGCTGGGGCTGGCACCCCCACCCTCATGGCTGCTCCCCCCAGCCAGACGCTGCCCCTCCCCTGTGACTCATCAGGCCTGTCTGCAGGTTAATGCTGGTAATGTCTGTGCCCTGCTGTGCAAGAGGTGGGCCTTAGGCCCCTGTGGCCTGAAGGTCAAAGTTAGCAACAACTGCTGCCCTTTCTTAATCTCCAGAGTGGCCTGAGTGTCCCCAGCTTGTCCAGCCATAATTTCTACTGTCATGAGAATCCCTCCCTTGACACAGCCCCGGTCAAGGAGAGATGAGGTGGGGAAGCCCTGTGCCCCTGGACCACTTGGGGCTGTGAATCATGCATGTCCCTTGACAGCCCCCATGCTTTGCCCTCTGCCTCGGAAGCCCTGACCTTGCTGTCGACCCTCTGGGGCTGGCTATGACACACTGTGCTGTGCATGGATGGCTGCACAGGCTGGGGCATGTGGCACCCAGAGAGCTGAGAGATACAGGGGATGACCCAGAGGATACAGAGGAGGGAAGGTACAACTCCAGCGCTGCAGGGAGGGACATCAGCAGCTGCTCCCAGGTGCATGTCTGCCACCTTTATGAGAGGCCTGAGCCTGCCTTGTTCATATACTATCTCCCTCTAGTTCCCAGGAGGGTGAGTGGGGACTGTGCAGCCCTCAGGACACCCTAGCTGGTAACACATGTCCGATCAGAGTTTCCTGAGTGGCCTTTTACTCTGCTCCAGCTTTATCGCTCCTGTCCCCTCCTGGAAATTGCCCTATAAGGGATATAGAGAGGAGGAGCAGGACAGACAGGTAGGGACCCAGAGCTTTACAGAACTCCTAGACTCTAGAGTATGGGATTATTTTAAAGGCTTGATTTGGTTGTGGGTCCTCCAATCCCAGATCTTGTCTCCCTATTGGGCCCAAATGCGGCATCCAATGTCTGTAGCTCATTGACTGAGGACCATGCTGTCATCTCTAGAGCTCAGGACCCTGATGAGCAGGGCACAGGTGATGCTTCAGAGTGTGGCTGTACTAGAAGTGCTCAGAGCTGCAGAGAGGGACTCTGGGTAGCCCCAGGTAAGCAGCTTCTCTGGCAGAGCCAGGAGGCTGGCGTGCAGGGTCGGGGGTGGGGGGCAGAGCAGCAGTGCCCACGCTCACCCAGCTCAGTCAAAGAGGAAGATCTGGGATGGGCCTGCGCCTGTAAACCAGCTCCTCCCATACTTAGGAAGCAAGATTTAATGGGCAAAAATTGTTCCTGTCCCCAGAAGAACTTCTGAAAAGAATAAGGCGGTGGAGACCACAAGCATGGGCTTGGGAGCTGAAAGCCAAGAGCGGAGTTTCTGGAGAGAGCTATTGCTGATGGCCCCTGAGCTCCGAGAAAGGACACAGGGACCCACACAGAACCAGCAATGTCTGAAAGCCCCTGTGGAGAGTGGCCGAGGCCCTGAGGCCTATGAGGCTGAGGGAGATAACACAATGTTTATGGCAGCTGGGCTGAACCGAGCTGAACAGTGTTTATGTGAGTTTGTGGGGCAGGGTGGTGACCTGGGAGCTCACTCTGTGACGGGCTCAAGGAAGAAGAGAAGCGTGGCAGGGAGGCTGGACCAGCAGTGACCACATGGGAAAGGCTGAGAGGCTGCGTGAACACTTACAGGACTGATGGCTGCTCCATCCCACCTGAGTGGGAGCAGATGAGGCCACGAAGCGCTGGGGACAGGACTGTCAGGGGCCTATGTGCCACCTGCTATGGGTTGAATAATTGTGTCCCCCTTATCCCCCTGAAATCTATATGTTGAAGCCTTGAACCTCAGCACCTCAGAATGTGATCTTATTTGGAAGTAAAGTGGTTGTAGATGTAATCAGTTAAGACAAGGTCACAGTGGAGGAGGGTAACCCCTAATCCCATGTGATGGGAGCCTTGGGAGGTCGTCACTAGCAAAATGATGCACCAGCCCGAGGGTCTTGGGCTTTTCCCTGAAGGACACAGGAACCAGTAAAGGCGGTAGGTCAAGGAGTGACATGAAAGATGTTGGGAGGGCCCTGAGTACTGGGAGGGGGAGAGTGCAGAGGGCACCTATGGGGGGAAAGCTGAGGAGGAACTGGTGAGTCCCGAGACAACGAAGGTTGAACAGTGAAGATAAAGAGGGCAATGTTTCAAACACATGTGTCGAGCAAACCCAGCAGGCAGCCATGAGGGCTTGTGAATCGGGACCTACAAACCCTGGGTAAAGGCAGGAATCAAGCTACAGCTGAACACAGATGAACGGGAATCTCTGTACAGGAGGAGGAGTCTTCTTGCCAGGCGGCGTGAAGCCTAAGTCAGTGTGTGCTCAGGCCAAGTGGCCACTACAAGGCTTGGAGCCGTCCAGCTGCATCATGGTTGAGCCCGGTGCAGAACAAAAGAGCAGGGTAGGCCTCTGGCACTGTCCTGGGCTTGTAGCTCCCCAGTTACTGCATTCAGTTCTGGATGTCACTCTGAGACGGACCACAGGAGAGGTCATCCCCTGAGGACTGGCAGTGGGAACCCAGGTGACAGTCCCAGAGGAGAAAACAGTCTCTAAAAGGCTACTTCAGCTGAGGGGCACCCACCTATACATGAAAACTGCAGCAGGTAGGGGATGCGGGGTTGGAGGGCAGGCATCCATGCGGGCTGAGGAAGAATTTTCTTCTAGGCAGAGCTGTGTGTAGGCGGCAAGGGCTGCCAGGTGAGGTATTAAGCACCTCGGTTTAGAACAGTGGTTCTCAACCTTCCTAATTGCCGCATTGTTACAAATGGAAAAAAGGGGTCACGACCTACAGGTTGAGTGTTTTAGAAGAAGGTGAGCTGGGGCCACACAGGCTTTTGACAGGGAGTGAGAGATAGGATTCTCATGTCAGCTGAAGGGCTGGACTCAGAAGTCCCCTTCTAGCTCCCAAATTCGGTGATTCTAAGTTCCAAAGATCTCAAAGGATCCAATAGTAACCACCTCATCCCCAGCAACCCGTCTGCGGTGGCTTACAGTCAGAGCCCACCACAACCTTGGGCTCCTCAGGCTTCTGTTACAGAAGGGAACAAGGAAGCCTCAAGTCAGAGAGCTGGGAGGCACCGGAGCCTGCAAGGGGTCACGGGACGCCAAGGTGAAGTGGCCCCTTGAACAAACTGGGGGTTGGGGTTCCACACTCCATGTTCTAAGCCCAGCATCCTTTTTTCTGGCTGTGCAGCCCCATGTGGTTCTCTTAACCAACATGCCCCACAGCAGCCCTATGAGGAAGGCTCAGTGAGGCTCCCATTTGACAGCTGGCAAAACCAAGGCCCAGAAAGTTTAAGTCCCCCTGTCCAAGGTCACATATCTGGCTGACAGAAAAGGTGGGATTTGAATCCAGAAATACTCTCTTCTGTAAGAGAAGAGAGGTATTCCAATTCCTGCCCCACTTCCTTCCACCTCCTGCCCTGTGTTGTGGCCGATGTTCCCATCTCCACTAACAGAATCCTCCCATCAGACACTCCAACTAGAAGGTGTAGTAGGTTCTGAACTGCTCTGGTCCCAGGCCTGAACTTGCAGTCTGGGCCCTGGGAGGTGACAGTCCAGTAGGAAAGTCCCTTGTTAGCCTTAGGATGGCTTGCCTATCTCTCAGGTTTTTCATCCATAAATAGGAGGTTGCTGTGAATACACAGCAGGTCATGCCCAAGGCATGCGGCGGACCACAGGCACGAAACGCGTACTGGTCATTTCTAGCTGGGTCAGGTAAATGTCCTCTCCTGGGCTGAAAGGCATTACCGAGAGCACCGATCTGGGGTGCTTCTCCATCACCGGCGAAGATGGGGTCCAGGAAGGAGCTGGTTGGGAGCCCTGGGGTGGGACTGGGGAGGCGCGGGGGCTCCGGAGCCGTTGGCCGGTAGCGCGGGCTCACCTTCCGAGGGCCGCAGCTCCTCCACGACGCTCTCGGCCGCCGTCTCCTCGTCCCACGTGCCGGCCTCCACCACCTTGTAGCGGCCGCGCGGCTGGCTGAGCACGTGCGGGGCCTGCAGCGCCGCCTCCCGCTCGGCCGCCAGGTCCAGGTCCTGCTGCGCCAGGTGCGCGCGCAGCTGCCGGATCTCGAACTGAGGGAGGGAGAGGGGACGGTCAGTCGCCGGACCGTGGTGCGCGGCTGGGACGAGCGGGCTGCGCGTCCGGGGGATGGAGGGTGCGCTCCCCAGAAACTTCCCAACACCCCGGGTCGCACGAGCGTCTCACGTTTGCAGAGTCTTTTCCTAGTAATAAAGCGTGAGCCGGTGTTATTAGGTGTCTTGTCACCCCATCGCACGGACGGCGGTGGGAAACCTGGGTTTGAATTCCACTCTGGGGGATTGCACAGATGTGCGATTCCGCCGGGTGCTTGACAAAATGAAAGCCTGATTCAGGAGCCTTACACGGATGATTACTAGGGGACGGGCACCCCGGAACCTCTAGGGCCAGCGCCACCGGCCTTGGGAGCCCTGCTGGCGTCAGCGCCCGCTGTCCTGTCCACTGGCTCGTTCATCTCCCAGCAACACCTACTTGCCTCTCTCACCAGGAGGGGTGGACGGCTCCCAGCCTTGCAGTTTCCTGGTGCCCTTGGGCAAGTCCCCCCCGCGCCCCCCTCCCCGGCCCCGGTCTCCTTATCTGCAAAATGGGTTTTCATCTCTTTGAGGATTTGGGTTGGTTGCTTCGTAAGGGCCTCGTATGAACTGCATGCATTTTTAGTTTTGTTTTTCTTTTGCTGGGGAAAGCATCTTGGAAAGGCTTCCAGAAGTCTCTTGGGCTTGTGGTTCAGATGGCTGCTCACAGGGTCCTTCACCTTCTGGGCGAAGGTGAGGTTTCGGTCTCCAGTCGACCGGCTGGGCCCTGGGCTCGCGGGAAGGAGGCCCTTCCCTGCCATCTAGTGTCCCAAGCCCGCATCGTACCGCCTCCGCCCTGGGGGAGCGGTGAAGGCGGAGGCCAACTGGGTGCACGGCCACGGCGCCCCACCTAGGAGGTTGCCCACTTGCTTATGACAGTTTCTCCAGCCCAGATCCCTCCCTGGAGTGTCAGACTCGCATGTCCGACTGCCGGTGTGACAGCGCCACGTAGTCGGTTCATGGGAGTTGCAAATTCTACCTGGTCAAAACAGGGCTCTTCATCTCTCCAAACCTGCTTCTCAAGCCTTTTCATCTCACTTAAGCTTAGGTTTAATCACTTCCCTTGCCTCCTCTCTTTCCCTCACCCCAACATCCCAGCTACCCCCAAGTCCTGTCCCATTTCCTTCCACCTCCACTGCCAGCTCTCACAATGACAGCCAGATCCCTCCATGTTCCTCTCCCACTGTGCTCCAGCAGGACTCACAGGGACTCTCTCAAACCCAAATCAAGGCCTGTCCATAAACATCAAGGGCTTACCGCCTCACTTGGGAGACAGCCCAAACTCCTTACCCTTGGCTTATGGAGCAGGTGCACAGTCTGTCCCTGCCCCCCAGCACCAGTTCATCTCATCTCCCCCGTTGCCTGGCCCTGAGACACAAGCTTTCTCATTTTTCCTTAAAGACACCAAGTATGTGCTGGTCTCAGGGCCACTTGGCAGCTGCGCCATCTGCCCCAGATCACAGGAAGACGCCTCCTCGTGGGGGCTTTCCCTGACCTCCCACCAAAGGCAGCCTCAGTCACATTGGCCTATTTGAATTCTCTGCATCACACTTAGCACTTTCTGATATTTTTTGTGTATGTTAATGTTTTATTAATTTTATTACTGTGAAAGCAAAACACAACTAAAAGTATTCACTAACACTAAGGTGGCCAGGCAGCAGCCTAGCATTGGACCACATCCTAATGGTATCAACATCCCAATGTGTGTGTCTCTGGGAGCACACGGGTTTTCCAGAGAGTTCTTCAGCTTCCTGCCTGATTTCTTCTGCATTGGGAGCAGGGCAGGGGAATAGGACAGAGGGTCTCATCTTTATGGGGAAGGACTTTCACTTAATCCTCATTTTTGGTTCAGCCCTGCACCTTTCTCCAAGCCCCCACCTAACCCAGCACCTGTTTTAAGAGCTCTAGGTCAGTTTCTCCAGGGGACAAACCTCTGAACACTTGCAGGGCGGGGAAGCATAGTTTCCTGGCAGTGCAGGGTTTGGAAGGGGGCCTAGAGATTTCAAATGTTATGTGCAAGACTTTTAGCCAACTCCCCTTCCCCACTGTCAGCTTCATTCTACACCCCCTTCCTTCCGGACTCCCAGGGGTCCTGAGGGAAGAACTAGACCATTTCCTTCACTGCCCTCCACTGTAGGTACTTCAGGTATAAACTCTCCACTCTGCTGGCTCAGTTACTGCTTTCCCATCTAGTCTCAGAGTATGCCCAAACTCACCAAAATCTCTCTCCTCTTTGTCCTGGTGGACAAGCTTTAAATAAATAGTTTCTTAATTTTTAGACATTTATGATTTTTTCTAATATTTTAGTGGAGTCTTGGGGAGGAGATTAGATGAATATATATGGTCACTGTACTATTTTCTTTGAGGACTGCATACCAATTTACCTCTTATTCACTCTCTGTGGTACACTGGGGGAAAAAAAGAAAAGGCCTGATTTGTAGTGTACACTAATCTCTGTGGTCCTGCCATGGCCAATCTCAAGAAACCAACAAGATGTCATGGGGGACTAAAAAGAAATATGCATAGTTGGGCCAGTGAGTGCCCCAGTGCACCAGTGCGACCCTTCACCCCCAGTGGAATATAATCTCCATAAGAGCAGGGACCCTGTCTGTTTTATTGCCTGGTACACAAGATGTACTCACAAATTCTGTATTGTTGAATAGATGAATGAATAAATGCACGAAACTAGTTTAGTTCAACTCTGTGGCTTCAGGCTGAGCTGTAACTGAGCTGCACCCCTAGCCCAAAGCTAAGACAGAGACAGAGCCCTACACACTAATCCCTGACCCTGGTCACAGACTCAGCCCTAATGCTGGGATCAGACTGGGCTTATCCCCTCGACCTCAACAACCCAGCACTCAAATGGGACTGATGGTCTTAGGAGGTGAAAAAGTGAGGCTGGCTCATTATAGTATGGCTTTTTGAATAGGGGGAGGGAGTTCGAGCCATCCTTCTGGTGGCAAGATCTCAGCTGTCACTGAGGACCCATGAACAACCCTCCCAATCTCTGCTGGGGCTGGAAGCCCCTCCCGCCCAGGCTGATTTAAACTTCCCATGGGCACACCCAGCCCACTTTCTCCAAGGCCACTCTTCTGGACCTGCAGGCCCAGCTAATGGCTTCCTAGGCCACTCTGAAAGGATGCATTATTGATGGCTTGAAATTGATATGGAGTTGCCCAAGAGTGTCCCACTGGAATTCAGGCCAGACAGCTGGAGGCCAGGCTTGCCCAGCCCCAAGCCCATATGTGCAGGCATAGACACGTACAAAGAAACAAGTTTTAAACTAAAGATGTGAACTCCAAATGTGTGGTAGTTTTCCCATTCATTCACTCTGGAGGAAGTCAGGTAAAGCATGCTGGGGCCCATATCAAAATTCTGTTAAATGGCTGGACATGAAAATGCCCCCTCAGCTTGGAGGTAAATTCAGGGTAATCCCAGAAAGAAGGGGCTACATCTCCTGTGAGAGACAAGGGCTAACCCTGGGCGGCACCTGGGCCAGAGCGGGCATGGTGCATGTGGGAGATGGATGACTGATGGGAAGTCAGCAGGGGCCACCTCAGGCAGAGCCTATAGCCATCATAAGATGTTTTCAGGTTGGCAGCCTTTCTTTAAAGAGCAAAAGAAACCATTAAATCTCTCAAACAGAAGGGTGGAGCAGTGGAGGTGGCAGTCTGGTGATCCAGGAGAGCATTTTGGAAGGGCTGTGAGGCTGCAGCATGGGCGGGGGGATGCCAGACGAGAAGCTTCTGCAGCATCCAGGCCAGAGATGAGGAGATGGAGATGAGGGTGAAGATAGTGGAGATGGAGATGAGAGGAAGGATGAGGGATCTATGTAGGAGGTGAAAGTGTCAGCACAGGGCCTGAGATGGCATGGGGGTGAGGAAGAGGGCAGCCTGCTTTGGGGACCGATTTTGGCAAGTTTCACACCCATAGGCTGTGATGTGAAGTGCCTGGATGCCTTCTGAGTCACCCCGAGAAGGAATGACTAACTCCTCAGAAGGAACTGCAGATGGGTCAAATGGCTCTCAGCCCTGTTGTGGCTGTGACAGCCCAGGGGCTCCTCAGGATGTGCCAGTGAGACCCTCGGAGCCCAGCTCCTGATTCTTCCCCTACCTAACACAGCCACACATGCTTCCCTCAGCCAACTATAGGGCTAGCACAGTAGGGCCTTATTAATCAGATGGGTGAACTGAGGCCCAGAGGTGGGAAGGAGCCTTCTGTGTGGGGCAAGAGGCAAGGAAAAGGCTAGGACTACCTAGTTTGGCAGAAGCAAAGCAGGGCCTGAATCTGCACCTCTGGCTTCCAGCCCCCAGGATATTACAACTTGCAGCCTATGGGCAAGGTGGAAATGATTCAGCCAAACAGAACACACGGCAGCTTGATGGGTAGCAGGGGCCAGGAGAGAGCAGGAGGTGCCCACTGGGGACAACACAAGGGCTGGAGGCCTGTCACCCCTCCCTCACCCTGTATTTAGGTAAGTCCCTTTTCCTCTCTCAGCCTTAGTTTCACTATGTGTCCAATAAGCAAATGGACTGGCTGAATCCTGAGTCTATGACAGCTCTGTACTGGCTTTGGGACCTGAACTGGGAGGGAATGAAGTACAAATACCAGTTCATGCTTGGTGCTGTCTGGAGGGCTACCCTCTGCTCAATGCTAAAGTGCACCATTCCTAGAAGACCATCTCTTTAGAGCAAGATAACATAATCCAGAATCTCTAAAATGTATCATCAACAATGTGTAGCAATTTATCTCAACAATACGATGAGAATTATTAGTCATGCAAATAAGCTGGAAAAAGTGATTAATTATCAAGACATGAAGCAGTCAGTTGAAGCTGACCTGTACAAATATTTGAGTTAATAAATAAGGACTTCAAAGTAATCATGATTAATATGTTAAAAACATAGGGGAAAGATGTACAAAATAAATTTAGTATTTCAGCAGATAGAAGCTATGAAAGGAAA